AAAACTCGAAAGTAACTGGTCTAATAATACCAACCAACAATTTTGTAGATTTTGTTTAGAAGGGTTTGTTGCTCATTAAAAAGTTTCATTATAAAAAATCCATCTGGAAGGAATATTTCAAAAAGAATTAAATTGAAACTTAAGAAAAGGAATAATTGTTCATCTTCAATAATAGGTGATAACTGTAGGTAGCATCTTCGATTTATTATTTATCATTCAAGTTAGGCTTTACAAGGAATGTAAATGGATGTCAACTTCAGAGAAAGTGAATAAAACATTGTCAAAGAATATTAAGCTGAATATACTCCAGAATATTTAATTTTTATATATATACAGGGTGTTCCTTAAAGACATGCTAATATTTGAGGGGTTGATTTTCTGACTCATTTTGAGAAGAAAACTTGATATGAACGTATGTCCTAAAAGTCTTAACTTTTGAGATACAGGGTGATGAAGTTTTGAAAAATATTCAGTATTTTGATGATAGCTAAGACAATATCGTATACATCTTTTTGAAATTTGGTACACGTCTTTTAAGCATCAAAGTGCATTTTCTGATGTACAAAAATTTTCATTCTCTCTACCAGTGGCACCGTTACGGGAAATTATTGTTTATATTTTACTTAAAAGTGAGCAACGACGGAAAATTTTCAAAATTCATACAATGATATAAAAGGCTATTCAATTATGTACAAAAAAGTTCCTCCTGTTGATACTCGATAGAACGCTTTGTTTTCGAGAAAAAACGGAAAAACGAGACCAGACTTCAAATTTTGATGTTTGAGTACTCCATTCAGAACATCCATTACTGGATAACCACCGTATGTAACATTTTGAAGTTCGTATACTGATTCAGTCACATAGCAGACTGAATTTTGCCATCACGAAAAGCTATACACCCTGTACCTATGATTTTTGACCAGTTGCTTTGATGAGTGTTGCGAATAACCAGAATCTTAAGAGGTATGGGCATCGAGTGACGGGTCACGGGTCATCCTGTATACAGGATGTAATCAGAATTGCACAAATTGAAAAAATAAAAAAATCTGATTCTTTATTATTAACGTGATATTTTGATTTATACTGAACTTCAAAATCGCTTATTATTATTATTATTTTTCTCTGTCCACCCAAAATTATCGGCAACAGAAATATTTGGGTTGAAATAAGAATGTTCGGCAGCATGGAGCATATTTTCTGTCGGAACAAGGAAATTCGTCTTTACACTCACATAAAACATGAAAACACCTAGTTTTGAAGAAACTATCTTCCTATTTTTGAATTTTCTGATGAGATGTCTGCCTCGGCGACTTGTTTTTACAGTTGTTTATAATATTCTATCAGATTAAAATTGAATGAATGATTTAAATCGTGATTCAAATCATGATTTAAATCTTCACAACTCTGGTAAAAATAAAAAGAAAAGTTCATGTGAACTTTTATGTTTTATTTTCGATGTACAAGTATTTTGAAAAAAAAACAACTCCTTAGCTGATATTTGTTCAAGTTAGCAGGTTTGTGTGTAGTATGATGTATTTTTTGACTTAACTACACCTTTTCCAATTTTATTTCAAAAAGCGACAAGTTCAAAAAGTCTCAATTTTATTTGAAATCAGTCATTTTAATTTAAAAAAGTAGTAGTAGTAAATGTAATTCAAAATTAACAATTCAATTTCAAAATGCATCAATTGTATCTTAACTTATTCATCATTTTGATTTACAAAAAATTCCATTTCAATTTCAAAATCCATTATCTCAATTTCAAAGCTTATCATTTTTATTGATGATAATCCAATATCAGAGTGAATGAAAATAGTAATAATTTAATCCACATCCAACCTTTGCATGTGCTTTTTCAGTTTGGAAATTCAACTGATGCATTAGGAAACACATTTGATTTTGAAATTCAACTGATGCATTAGGAAACTCATTTGATATACTTATTTGGATATACAAATAACTATTTTGGAACTTGGTGTTTGTTTTTGAAATTAAATTGATGATTTGGAAATACATTTGATACTCTTTGAAATTGAACATTGACTTATTTGAAATACAGATGATGATTTTTGAAATCCAAATGACTAATTGGAGAAACAATTGATAATTTTTTAACTAAAACTGGAAAATGTGTATATTCACCATAATTATTCCAGTGGCGCCCCAGAGGGGTTAACTGGATTGACATTTTTATCAACATTATTTTGCTCCATTCTTTTTTGACAGAAGATACATCGTCCTTGTCCATGGGTAATTTCTTGTAGTTTTCAAGACATTTTAGATGAAATAAGTTTTTTTATTGGAGAAGTCACTCTCCCTTTATGTACATGACATTTGACCTGTGTAAATATATTAATTGTATAATAACACCAATAAACGATTGATAAGATTGATAATTTGATGATATTGAGAATTTGTCAGCCACTGGCCACTGACCAACCTGAATTTTGGCATTATGAGAGCTTATACAGGGTGATAACTGAGATAGGTAAATAATCTCTAATTTCTAACGTCTTACAAGATACAGGATGTTGTATCTCGTAAACCAAAGGCCGATTTATGCAACGTTCATTATAATTACAATTTCATTTCATTATTAATTATGCGTTCATGCAACACATCAACACATTTTCATTACATTAGTCATAGATTAACGACTCCCCATTAGTGCACTAAGAAGTTGACCAACTTTCAACTATACCAACATTATAATAATCACATTATAGTTCTGACTGATTTGCAAGATTGAAATGACGATTTTTTCCACAAAACTATTAGTGATTCTCTCAAAATAAACACATATTTTAAAACATCATGTCAAACATTTTCTGAGGTATTTTTATGGAAAAAATACATTTATCAAAAAATGTCTTCCTATGCTATGGCATTTCCAATATTTACAATCAATAGGGCCTAGTTGTTTTCTACAATTTTAATTTTCTATTTTTCTACAAATATTACTGTCTATTGAATTTATGGTTTCCTAATAAATTCGGATTCGGAAATATTGAGGAAAAGTTGTTTTCAGGATGAACTTGAAGGAGCATAGCTCTCTTAGGAAGCATATTTCGACACATGTTTATGTTTTTTTTTTTCATAAAAATTCCTTAAGAATCACCCAACGGATTTTTTACCAATGTTGAGGAAACATCCTGTACATAAGATAGGGTGCTTTCGTATAAAGTACTGAATACATTCATTTCAAACCAAACTATCCATTTCTGGATATCTGGAACAGATATTTGATCTCAATTTGTCACAATTTTATGGTGAAATTGAATATACCTACCTACTGGGTGATCCACGTTTGAGTAATGACGTCCGCGACATTCAAGGAACACCCTATATACCTATCGTTCTATTTTTGGAATCTTCATGGAAAGCTGGATCAAAAAAAAATTCACACAAAGGATCCGTTGAATCCAGTGCTATCCTACAGTAGAGGAAAAATTCGTAAAAATGAAAAGGAATGATTTTTGGAAAGGACGCACGATGCAGTTGAATATCATTTTCATTTAGACATTCCTCCGAATTCAATTGATACCTATAGAATGAATATACCGTGGGAGAAATTATTCCATTAATTTATTATTACAAATGTATCCACAACTTTGAGTGCTGAATTCGACTGACACACTGTTTACAAGCCCTATGTGTGATATTATCTAGTTTTGAATCCAGCCGGTAAAAGTGCATTTAGCATGCGATTGGTTTTTTTCAAAAAAAATTTTTGGTACTTACGTATTTTTGTCTGAAAAACACGAATTTGCCAATGTTAATGTGAACAAAATACTATTTACCGAGATATTTCAAAGAAAAGTTCGAAATTTCAACTCCTTCCTTTTGTGTTGGATGCATTTACAGATAGGTACTTGCTCTTCTTATTTTGGACACTTTATATACTCATGATGTACTTCAATGACACATTTTTATACAGAAAATTCGACAGGAAATATGATTTTTATGGCAAGTTTTTCATATTTAGTGAACAAGCATACCAGATGACGGCCATTTAATTAATCGTCAATCCAAATAGGAGATGTCAAATGACAACAGAGTGCTTCTGAATGGCATTACACACGCAATTATTTTAAATGATATTTTTCCTTCTTTTCACTAAATATGGATAAATCACAAAAAAAATCATATTTCTAGTTGACTCAATAATATTAAATTGTTTTAAATTCAATCCAGAAGACAGGCGGAAAAGAAGGTGAAATTTGTAACTTTGTAGTGAAATATCTTAATAAATAATGGTTTGTTCACATTTTCATAATCAAATTCGTGTTTCTCAGACAAAAATAAAGTACCAAAAAATTTTTTCGAAAAAAAACCCATCGCATGCTAAATGCAGTTTTACCCATTACTCTAACGTGGATCATCCTGTATATTCATTTTTCCCTTCCTTATACATGACCCATTTCAGTAGAATCCTAGGAAATGGATAGTTTGGTTGAGAGTGAATTTATTCAATACTAGGGCTAAATTCGCCCATGGTTATAATAAATGTTGCATGAATTAAAAAACATGAAGATTAGAATATGAACTCAACATTTTATTTTTGCAAGTACTATCGCCTATCAAATTTTCCTGATTAAAATATGAAACACCATGACCCAATATTTGACCGGCATCATGTAAAGGGATGGCATTTAAATAAACAGCAATCTGGCAATGATTCTAGATAAGCATATCAATAAAACAAATTAGGTGTACTAAATTGATCGATAGGAGCCGCATACCTATGAATTCAAACTTGAAGAATTGAAATAGAGATGAACTGATCTGACGAACGAAAAATCCAAGTTTTTTTTAGTGACGCTCACCGACGATGACGCTTGGTTTGGTGATGTGGCACGACACGAAATGTAGATGTTACCGGTCAAGGGCCTTCCATAAAGCCATACGAGAATCATCCATAGAATATTCTTTAAAAGTATCTCACATGAAACATTTTTCCATATGTTAAAATTTATATAATGTACTTAAAAATTGCTTACCCGCTTTCTAGAATTGGCCAACTTCAATTTGTGCTCCCTCACTGAATCCGCCATGTTGTTACGTTATTATGCGACGAAAATGACGAGATGACGAGATCCGAGATCGGGCAACGCGCCGACTCGACCAAAACCAATGCGAAAATTGCGAAGCAGTGTTGCCGTTGCCACTTGCCAGCCAATCATCAAATCATAGCCACGAATTAACAACGTACTAGATTATCTGGCCTGGATCTGGGATGACGAGAATCTGTTTTGTTTTGTCCACTTTCTATAGATATGATGATTATATTGTTTATTATAATGCTTAGTTGTGTCAAGCATTGAAAAAGATATGTTCAAAATCGTACTCAAACAACTACCAATTCTATGAGGAATTGATATTTAGCGCAGTGGACATTCCATATATACTCCCCAAATTGAAATCTTGACCATTAAAAATGTATTTGAAACCCTATCAGAGAATACGGTACGCCTGTTCGTTTGTGTTTGCTCTACCTGCTAAACTTGACTTTTTCAATGACTTTCTCTGTTTACATTATGCCATGAAAGAGACAATACTATGGGAACAGAATCAACATTAGCAAGTTCAGCAACAGACACGAACAGATCAGCTGATAACATTATTTTCAGGCTCGATGGTCGGTCGGTGCCAAGATCTATTAACTTCTATAAATAAGTAAAATTCGATATTTCTTTTCTTCAAACATTTTTTCAAACAAATTATTGTCACTGACAAGCTACTGGATTTTTCTATTAGACTCCCTGAAAGAAAAATGTGTTAAACGCAGTGACATTTTGGGGCAAATCACCTGATTTGTCCCTCTACAAATATATTGAAATAATACGAATACTTTTATTTTATAGAAGAATCAAGTAAATTAATATTCATTAAAGTAATATAAATTCTTTCAACACAGGATTTTTTCATGTAAATGTAAAAATTTTGAAAAGCTACTCCATTACTCATGATAAGTTATATAATCATTGCAGCATCACTGAAGTAGATACCTATACCTTATTATCTCATTTTCACCATGCTATTTTCGTTTTTTGATTCATTACTCATCTGATGCAGCTCTGTATATCTTGCAAGCATTATCCTATATTTTCAGAATTCTCAGATATTCTCATGATTTTCCAATGGAAACTTCAACTACGTCAACAATGATAGGTAATTCATTGGGAACTGAAGTAAATAATAAGAAACAAAGCAGCAATCCTCATTTACGCGTCACCAATCAGAATGCGTGACGTGTGACGCGAAAGCTGCATAGGATTCGTTGTTCGGAGGAATAGATCATTCTAGAACATGGTATTCTAGAATACGTGATTTTGACATGGTTTCTTGAGGGGCACACAAACTATCTGTTAGGTTACCTTTGATGAGCATAGCCCTGGCCAACCCTCTGCCACATCCACAATATAATAACAGTTTTACCAAACAAAATTATGAAATTATTTCTGGTTCCAACTCGGATTCCAAGGAAAACGATCCCACTCATACTGGTTTTATATGACAAATCTTGACAAAATACAATGTTTGCCCCTCAACAACCTGTCAAATGACGTAATTCTGGAATGATTAATAGCCTCTGAAAGTTGTTTTTCCGAAAATTGTAAGAAACAATGATGTATTGTGTATCCCATTCGTGAACAAATAAAAAAATCCAATTTATATTAGGATGGGGCAGGATCGCGTTTTTCACTTCCAAAGATTAGCCAAAGATCTAGTGAAAAATTTAAGAATTCAATAGTACTAGATTCGATACGAACATTTTAGCGCTGGCATGGCAACACTGATGCAAATTTATTTGTTTCAGTTTTGACAAAACACACAACATATTATGGAGAGAGCGCAAGAAGTAAAGCGCGTATGGGGAATCGCTTCGCGTTAAGCGGCGTTCACAACCAAACTTTTTACGTTTTGCTTTTTATGTTACGTTTTGCTTTTTATGTTTCGTATTCTGATTGGTGAAGCAAATTCTTGTAATTGAAATGACGCAAAAAGCTGAAAATATTCAGCTTTTTGCGTTGCAAGAAGCCACCATGTGTGAAAATAGTAAAAATAGACAAATATGATATTCTTATAAAATGGAACATATTACTGTTAGTTCTGATTCGAATAGAACAATACAATTATATGGAACATTCTATATGGAAGCAATTATGCAAGTTATTATTTGCTCATGAATTGATTGATTTTTCTCTTCAAGTATTGAATAAGGATCAATTCACGTCACCGCCAGTTCTATGAATATTACTAATTATCTAATCAATATTATTGTTATTATTTCACTTCATTTCAGGATGAAACACAAATGACAATTTTTTCACAGATTCTGAAAGGTTTTTCAATTCTGAATTCAACCATGTATTATACAAGGTGGTTTAGGTGTGTTTCGACCTATTTTTAGTCATCATCAATGTTTTTTAGAAATTCCAAAGGTAAAATAATGCCATCAGTTCCACTTATTTTGAAGGAAAATTAGTCAACACACTAATACCTCATCAACTGGTTTCAATCATCAACAACCCATTTCATTTTGCGGACACAAAAATTCCATCCATAAACAAATTAAAAAAATATGTCAAGCGCTAAAACCAGGCGATGACGAAAGGCGCAGGACATTCTGTAAGTGGTATACCAGGAAATGTCAAAATTTTGCAGATTTCCCGCGAACAATCATCTGGACTGATGAAAGCATGGTCACTAATCATGGTATCTTCGATAGAAAAAATACACATTATTGTTCACTAGAAAATGAACATTTATACATTACAGCGAGACACCAACACCGTTTCGGCTTTAATATTATGTGGGTTGCAATATTTGGTACACGAATAATTATTGGACCTTTTATTCACCATGAAACACAGACTTCCTAACGTTATAGAAAGTTGCTTGAGAATCATTTTGAGGAAGCTCTGGATGATTTACCGATTGCGGAAGTTCAGACCTGATGCTGTGGTTTCAACAAGATGGCGCTCCGGTACATAATTCCAGAGAAGTTCGTGCGTTTTTATCCAGAAAAATGGATTGGTACCTACTCATTCTGCAGTCCCTTGGCCGGCGCTGTCACCTGATTTGACACAGCTGGATTTTTTTTTGGGGATATATCGAAAACTTTGCACACGCAAATAGCTCTGATGATGAAGAAGTACTAAGGGACAGTGTCATCGAAGCATTCATGCAATAGAATAATCCCAGAAACGCTTAGTAATGTCTTTGAAGCAACTGTGAGAAAAGGGTATCTTTGTTCAGAAAATAATGATCATTATTTTGAACATTTGTTATGAATGTTTCTGAAGGTATTATTGTCAAAGTTAAGTTGTTAAAGTCATTCGTGTAAGGATTCAACAATAATTTTAAGCGCGGCATTGAATGATGTAGTACGTGAAATATATTTTATTCACTTTTCAGTATTGAATAAGTGATCCATCAATGTTTGACACTAAATGGTCAGAAATAAATGGAACTGACGGCACTTTTCCTTTGGAAAGTTCGAAAAAACATTGATGATGGATAGAAATAGGTCGAAACACATTCAAATCACCTTGTATAAAACATGGTTGAATTCAGAATACATAAACCTTTCAGAATCTGTGAAAAAATTATCAGGACCGTATTCAAAAAACAAAAGTTGATGATGGTTCTACGGATACGAAACGTCGCATACAAAAATCGGTATAACCACGTTAAACCTCATCAAAAGTTGCTATGAAAAAATATTTTCAGTTTTTCTGTATCTCTAATAATATCGGAGAAAAAAAAATAAAATAGATATTCCAAAAATTCACTTTTTTCCATATAACTAAAGAACTAAAAATAATTTTAAAAATTTTCGAAGGCTCTTGATATGAGCCTCCGAATGCGCAACTTTTTCCCCATTTAACCGACTTCGCATCCTACCGTTTTCGAGATCCCCATGCTGATCAACCTTATCTTGGACAGACTGTATAGTGATACGACCATAACGAATAAATTTAGGCTCCACAACCCTTTTCACATAATTGTTATTGCCTACATTATTATTACATTATTGAAAATTGAAAAGTTGAATTTCCTAGAACAATATAAAATTCATGGGTTTAGGATTGGGTATGACATGATCGATATATACAGGGTGTAAGGAAATTATGCGCATAGAATTAAGAGGGGGCGATTTTGCATGAGAAAACATTAAATTTATTTCATATACAGGGTGGCCCACGGTCGATGGTACCTTAGACGTATACGGAAAACGGTACATTGGATTATCCTGAAAATTTGGTTACTCTAATAAGCGTTTGTGATCTAACGATTCATAATATTTTCAGCGATGCAGCGTTGCCACTTTTACCAAAAAGTGGCATCATATCGTTGTTATTTCAAATGGAACACCCTGTATTTCATTGCGTTTTCAGATTCTTCTCAAAGAGCTGATTTCATCAATGTTCACACTTGGGGTCTAGCAGGAATTATTACAGAGATATAGGGTGTTCAAAATCGAGATTTTTCAACTTCAGGATTTTTTTGTGTCGAAACTATTCATCATTGGTCAAAACGACTCACATATCCCTGTATTAACTTTTGATTAACTAATTAATCTACCGACATTTAATTGGAAAAAATACAGGATGGTCCAAGATTCAGAATTTTGATCACCCTGTATCTGTTCCAATTAAATGTCAGTAGATAGTGAATCAAAAGTTAAGATAGGGACATGTAAGCCGTTTTGATCGATAATAAATAGTTTCGACACAAAAAATTCCTGAAATTGAAAAATCTCGATTTTGAACACCCTATATCTCTGTAATAATTCTTGCTAGACCCCAAGTGTGAACATTGATGAAATCAGCTCTTTGAGAAGAATCTGAAAACGCAATGAAATACAGGGTGTTCCATTTGAAATAACAACGATATGATGCCACTTTTTGGTAAAAGTGGCAACGCTGCATCGCTGAAAATATTATGAATCGTTAGATCACAAACGCTTATTAGAGTAACCAAATTTTCAGGATAATCCAATGAACCGTTTTCCGTATACGTCTAAGGTCGTACCATCGACCGTGGG